CACACACACACACACACCTGAGATAGTCGCGCCTGTTGGAAATGAGAGGGCGATGCAGGTCGGGGAAGGTGGCAAGCGGGTCGTCAAAAGCTGACTCCTGCCAGGCTCGACTGGGGCAAAGCAGCTGGGGGATGCCAAACATCACAGACGCCGCCGCACTGCCGACGTGCCCCCTACAACGCAGCAGCAGCGCACTGCTTACTGTCACCCTCCACCCAATGCCCTGGCCCACCCTCACCCCCCGCCCCTGTCCCATCACGCGCACCATGCGTCCTGGCTATACCCAATAGGTGCCTTCTCGCTCCGCCCAAAGCCCGGCAGCGTCGGGGCATACACCTTGAAGCCCTCAGCCGCCAGCGCCGCCAGATTACCCCGCCACTGGTCCCCAAACGCCCCAAACCCATGGCACAGCAGCACCGCTGGCGCGCCGGCGCGCGGCGCCGCGGGCTCGGCATAACAATAGTCTGTTAGCGCCCCCCGCCACCTCCACGCGCAGCGCCGCGGCACGCCGGCCGGCCAGCCGCCCGCGGCGCCGGCGGCGCCGCCCCACGCCTCCACGCAGCCGTCGGCTGACTCCTCATAGCTCGCGCTGACGGATGCGACCGGCTCGGCCGCCCAGCCCGCGCCCGGCTTCTTCCAGGTTCCGCTGCCCGCGGTTGCGTCGAAGGTGGCCAGCTGGGAATGGAAGTCGGCCAGCTCTGCCGCGTCGAGGGCGGCGCGGGCGGTGGCGGTGGCGGGGCTGATGGGGATCCTGAAGGAGCCCCAGCGGCGCCGCTCGTAGTCCTGCGCCTCCGCATAGACCTGTTTTCAGTGGTGGGGTTTGGCAATCAGAGTGGAGGTTGGGGGCGCAGGCAGGGGTTGAGGGCTGTTTGGGGTGGGGGTGCGGTGCGGTGGGGTTGTGCACGGTGCAGCCTCGGAAAGGTTCAGGTGGGGTGTGTCGAGCGCGATTGTGCGGCGAGCAGCAGCATCAGCGAAGGGGGCGAACCGAAAAATCCTCTTTGACCTAAGCCTCTCCTGATCCTGTTCACTTGGAGGCATTGACAAGCGTCATTGACTCAACTTTCATGGCCGTAGCACCAAATGCTGATCCAGGACCCCCAGCGCAGCCACATCGCGTAGCCACAATCATGTGAATCCACTCACCTGCCGCACGCTCAGACGCCCCAGCCGCACCAGCGGCCGCCCCAGCAGTGCCAAAAACGAGCCCCCCACGTTGGCCGGGCTCTCCAGCTTCTGCACGGCTTCCCGCAGGAACGCCAGCCCCGGCGGAAGCGCAGCGGACGGCTGCTGGGATGCCAGGTAAGCGCGCAGCGCCGCCACCTCCGCCGCGCCGCCCGCGGCCGTGTGCGGCGTGGCGGCCGCGGCGCCGTCCGCCGCGAGCGCCTCGAGGAGGGAAGTGACAAACGGCGCCGCGCGCACCGCCACGGGCGCGCGCGCGTCGGGCGCCGGTGCGGCCGGCACGGCCGCCGCCTCGGCGTCCGCGACGCTCCCGATGATGCGCCGCGCCGCGGCGTCGCCGATGCCCGCGGCGAGCGCCTCCCTGAGCAGCTTCTCGGCAGCTTCCAGGGTCGGGATCTCGCCCGCCAGGTCAGCGCCGTCGGCGCCGGCGGGCAGCGCGGGCAGCGAGGCCGGCGGCGGCAGCGGCGCGAGGGGCGAGCCGCGGGCCTTCTTCCACGAGCGGAAGTTGGGGTGGAAGGCGCCCGGGGTGTAGAGCGGCGCGCCCCAGCTGCCGATGCGCGTGGAGGGGCGCTGCAGCTGCAGGGCGGCGCTGAGGCGCGACTTGCTCTCAATCCACCTGGTAGGCAGTGAGTGAGTGGGGAGCGGTCGGGTTTGGGGAGATTGCTTGAAGTCAAAATATGTGAAGAGAATGCTTGAATGCCGAGAGTGTTGTCGAAGGAGTTGTCTCGAGAGCGCTTTGTCGCGGCTGGAGGGCGCGGCCCGGCCAAAAATCGGGCTTACATGGGGCGGCCGAGCCTGTGGGCTCAGCGCGCCATCACAATGCACTTCAGTAAGCAGCGAGTGCGTGCGGCGCTATGGAAGCCCTCGTGACGCCCCTTGCATGTGCTCGCAGCAGTCTGACCTAGTAACCCCCCGACAACTCTGGCAGGACACCCACAACACACAGCAGCGTTCTGGTGGTTGCAGGACGACAATCACCCAACAAAGGAAGCTCCCGCGCACCTGGCCTCCACCTCGCGCTCAGTCATGACCGCATCGACCCCGTTCTGGGCACAGAATGCCGCCGTGGTGACATCAGCGGGGCCCACCCTCACGACCAGGTCAGAGCCCAGGGGACGCAGCGCGGAGCGCAGCGCAGCCAGCGCGCCGACCAGGGCTGCGCCGTGAAACACGGGTTCACATGGTGGTTTGGTGTCAAAGGGCACGTGTTGTTGTGCCAGCGGGTCAGACGATAAGTGGCAGGGCGGATCGCATTGACGGTGGCAGGCCGCAGTCGCAAGGCAGCAAGGCGACTCATGGCGTCGCCAGGCACACACTGCCCTGAGCGCCTCGCCAACTGCGTCCCGGTCGCAAGGAAATGCACTGCCCGCTGCCCCGGCGCAAGTGGTCACTGCGGCCTGCATGCGGCTCGAGGGAGCATGAGACCCACCCCTGGGCCCGCTGGGCTGCAGCGCTAAGTCAGCATAGGCCTCAGGGTCCAGGCAGAAGAACGGGATCACCTGCCTGCACGTATAGGTTGCGGCGAACGGGGCGCCGTAAGGTGCAGCGGCAACGCAGACGGGAAGCCATGGATGCGGGGAGCTGCCATGGCAGGCGGGCGGCGGCGCGGCGAGGCCAAAGTCCGGTGGCTGGCGCGGGTTGGCCTTGCTCCCTTGCAGTCCAGTCGCTGGCGTCTTCAGCACGCAACAAACTATCCCCTGCCTTTAGTTGGGCCGGACGTGCCCCGAGCCATCCCCCATCTGCATCCCCGGCACCCATCCCCTCCGCGATCACGCCCGCTTTCCCCGAACCCCCAGCCCTGAAACTAGGCCCACCTGCCCGTGGCGGCGGCCGCCAGCAGCCCCGGGTGGTCCGACACCCGCAGGTCGTGCTTGAACCAGACCTGAGGGGGTGGGGCCCCAGCCACTCAGGAATCAGACTTTCAACGCCCAAAGACGCATCTTATGGAGCCGTTTGAGCTGCGTGCGGGGACCCCGGTGGGGGCAGGCCGCCGCCCCGTCCGGCTGCCGTTCTGCCTCGGGCCCTGGCTATCACGGCCGCCTGCAGCACTGGAGGAGGCAGTTGTTGCAACTCAAGGCTGCGCGGGCAGGCATCCGCGTGCTGACAGCCTACCAGGATCGGGCCCTGCCCAGGTGGCACGCGCGGAAGGGAGTCTTTGGGGATCACTGGCTCTGCCGGCGCTGGCACGGTGGCGCCCTCGCCTGACGAGAGCGCCATCGGCGGCGCGGCCTGCGGCGCGCGCATGGCATGGCGCGAGCGCTCATGTTGTGTGGTGAAGGAGCGTGGCGGTGCATGACAGCGAGAGTGCGTCCTGTGCATGCGTGCGGTGCGGTGTGGCAAAATCGTCGCTGCGCAACCACTGCACCCTGCGCAGCACCCACCCGGCGTGCACAACGTGGCCGAGACCATGGCCATGCCCTCCTCCTGACGCAGAACGCTGATGTCCTAGCATGGACACCTATTGCCGCGCCCGCGGTCTCTCGCTGGGGTGTGGTGCGGTGTCTGGTGAGCATGGTTTCGGAGCTCTACACCAGCGCGCTGAGATGGATCGTGTGCGAATGAAAAGCTACGTCCAACGCGGGGCTTGGCGTGCAGCCTGGTAAGATCAAGCCCGATACATGGCGACGAAATGACCTCCGAGCCTCAACTCGAACTGCGTGAGTTCTGGGGAAACGGGCAGGCACATTTGATTGTGCACGTTTTCAAAGACACTTGAACGCGACCACTAGGTCGATCCAAGCTTGTCTATGTCCGGTCTTGCTGTCATGCTGACTGCGCCGTGCAATGACTGGGCTCCAGCTGGTGCTTACTGCCACCCAATTGTGCCTCATTACAACCATTACAGTTTGCCTGGGCACATACAGGTGCTTACCTGGCGGCTGACAGGTTAGTACAGCAGGCGTACTGGTTTTGGCCTGGACTCAGCGTCTTTGGCCTAGACGCTGACCTCACAGCCCACCGTCGTCCCTGGCACTGAACGCATCACGATACTCACCACTCCGCGCTTGGCTTCACTGGCGTGGGCACCTGCGCTGGCGGTGCCCACAGCAGCGGGTGCAAGACGGGCAGGACGCCCCCCCCGACACGCACCCGGATAAGTTCGCCCGCACACCAAATTGCGCTGAACGTGTTGTGGGGCAAGTTGGCATCGGCCCCATCAGCCCTCACCTGGTCCATGATTGCAAAGAGGCTTGCGATGAAAGAGAAATGCTTTGAGGCTGCATCTGCTCAATGGTACATTACATACCATGTGTGCCCCCATGTGCAGGGGCGCACGCGGCGACGGCAGGAGCCGGCGGCACTCTGGCAGCAACACACCCGTTGCTTGAATGGTCAGCCCGCACCGCACAGGCGACAGCCTGGGTCCTGTTGCAAGCAACTTGCGATGAGATGTCAGCCCTCCATGAGGACCAAGCGGACGTGCGAGTGACCCAGGGGCCAGCAGAGTTGACCCCAGCCGTACTGTGCAGGAGAGTGCCGAAGCCGGGGGTGTGCACTCTACGCCGTGGGGCAACTCCACTGGCGCTAGGGGAGCACATCACTGCCAACGGCAGGGTCTTTGACTAATGCGGGCCGAAATTCTACAAGACAAGTGTCAACCGCAGCAAGGGGCTAGCTGCGCGTCTACAGGCAAGGTGGACCGTGGACCGTCCCCAAGTAACTCTGACTCGGCACTGATCAGATGCGGTGGCAGCACGGTGCTGTTGGAACATTGACTACGGTACAACCGGATCACCTGTGTCGTAGGACATATTACTCTTGGCATACGGTACCTCCTAGCTGGCTGTGACAATGCGCTCGTTCGCTGTCGAAGCCCATGCTGCTTCGCGGGGCCCCCGACATGCGTCAGCCCTTTCTTCAAATCATCAAGCATGTCCTCAACAAAGATCCATCACCCCGGCACCGACGCGGCACCCGCGCCAGGGCAGACTTCAGCGCGGCAGTGCCCGCTGCAGCTGCTCGTCAACCGGACCAGACGCATCCCAGGTGGCGTTCCTCGACAAGGGGCCCATGCCACGCCTAGGCCTAGGCTTGGCAGCGCTCGGGCGGCCGGGTTACATCAATCTTGGCCACGGGGATGACCTGGCGGGGGGCAAGTCGGTGGAGGAGATGCGCCAGCACTGCTGGGCGGTGCTGGACGCAGCCCGGACGGCGGGCGTTAGGTGCGTTTGAGGCGTGGGGTAAGCCAAAGCACGGTTGATTTGGGAGGCGCGAGGCTCGCAGCCAGCGCGCCTTGTGTGCCTTGTGTCACTCGCGGTTCACTGCGGTTCCTGCCGGCCACGAAGGCCCTGAACCCCGCAGCCGCTGGCTAAGCCGAGCGCTGACTCTCCTCATTTGCGGCGTGCCTGTGCATTGAACGTGGCCGATACATACCGCACTCATCTATGAACTTGTGCACACCCAAACAACAAGGTACTTTGACTGTGCGCGCTCTTACGGCCGCGCAGAGGAGTTCCTCGCCAGATGGCTGGCCGCGCGCGGCATTGCGCCCGCTGACGTGGCTGTCGGCAGCAAGTGGGGTTATCGCTACACGGCAGCATGGCAGACCGACACTGGCGGCGCGCCGCACGAGGTGCCATGTGGATGAGGGCGGCACCACGGGGGTGCGAAATCACAGCTGTGTTTACATAAGCTCTGCCGGGCAACTGGCGGGCAGCTGCGCTCTCTTGATATGAATCAGCCGGAGCCCATGCTTTTCAAAAGCAGCGGCGGGTTCGCGCAAGTAGACAGCGAGTGGCAGCAGCTCTTCCATGATCGTTTGTGAGTAGCAAATGCTGCAGCACACGCCGCACACAAGGGCCCGCCACGACCGTCTGCTCCCCACCCGCAACCCTGCCAGGTCAAAGAGCACACCCTAGCACACCTGACGTCTCAGGCGGCGGAGTCTCAGCAGCTTCTGGGCAGCTACCTGGGGCTCTACCAGATCCACTCAGCCACTCTCGAAAGCGGCGTGCTGGAGAATGCTGATGTCATCGCTGAGCTGGCATCACTGAAAAAGGAGCGAGGCTGGCGGATAGGGCTGTCGCTATCAGGTGTGCTTGCGCACTATGCTTGGGTTGCCACATGGCAGGCGTGTGTATGTGAGCGGGGGCATACATGAGGCGCGCGTGTGTGTGTGTGTGTGTGTGTGTGTGTGTGCGTGCATGCGTGCGTGCGCGCCTGTCGTCTTGCCCAGCCCGCCGCATCACACAGTCTCCAAGCTCAGTTGTTTGGAACAGGTGCTTGTCTGGATGGCTGGCTTTGAGCCAAGCGGTGCTTCCCCTCTTGTTATCGCGCTTAGTCCACCCCTCTCTCCCCGCCCACTAGGCGAACAGCAGGCGCAGACGCTGCAGCGGGCGCTGGCGGTTGTGTCGCCTGTGGACGGCCGCCCCTTGTTCGATAGCGTCCAGGCGACATGGAACCTGCTGGAGCCCTCCTGTGGTGGGGGGGGGCGGGGGCCACCCTGGGCCTGTCAATGGCGCTGCCATTGTCTCAGATTTGCGGTGTTTGCCGTTGCTGTTTTTGCTGCTGAGCACACACAGATGGCCGGCGCATTGTGCCTGCGTGATGCAGCACGCAGCCCGCAGGCCCGTGTGCGGCTGGTTGGCCATCGAAGGGACGTGCACCTCTGCGGCTGCTGCCACCAAAATACAGAGCGAACGCCCCCACCGCTTTACTTGCATCACCGCCAACGAGCTCAACCAGCCAGCATCCTATCCTACGACCCCTGCGGCCTGCTCCCACGCCCCCCAGGTGACGCGCTGCTGGAGGCGCACAGCCGAGGGGTGGTGATCATCGTGAAAGAAGCCCTCGCAAACGGGCGCCTCACGGCGCGCAACGCGGCGGGGCTCGCCACGGGCGGGCAGCTCCAGCTTTTGCAGGACGCGGCAGAGGAGGTGGGCGTCTCGAACAATCTACTTTTGTTGGGGGCCAGTCCTTGAGCTTGGCTGGGTTGGGGTGGGGGCTGGGGATCAATCAGTGAGGACCTCGAGCCCTGAAACCCTCTTGACTGTGCAGCAACCAGCGCTACCCGTGCGGCACAGCGCACGCCTGTTGATCCGCCTGCTGGTTGCTCATTGCGTGATGTCACTGTTGCCCGACGTTACCACAATCCTCTTGCCCGGTTGATTGGCACCCGCCGTGCAGCTCAGCACCACAGTGGACGCCCTGGCACTGGCGGCTGCAATCGCCCAGCCCTTCCAGCCGATGGTGCTCAGCGGGGCAGCGACGCCTGCGCAGCTGCACAGCAACTTCCAGGCCGTCGAGCTGGCGGGGCGGCTGCCTCAGGGGCTTGTGGGGCAGTTGCAGGCAGAGCTGAGGCAGGAGCCGAAAGCATACTGGTCTCAGAGGGCTGCTCTAGCCTGGAACTGATGGTAACTTTCCACGTGCATTGCCAATCGATGTGGGTGCAGCTATTGAGGGGTTGACACAATGAGCCAGGCTGGCTAGGGCCGTCTCCCTCATGAAAGCAGCCATGGAAAGCATGCCTGCAATCCATGCATGTGGAGCCGTGCGCAGCACCGACTGGTCGCAATTCCGTCAGCTGCTGCATTCCCGCCGTTGCCGCCAGTGCCGCATGGCCGCAACCGCCATCGCGGCTGCCGCTGTTGCTAGCCATCGCTGCCGCTGCCGCTGCCGCTGCCGTTGCCGCTGCTGCTGCTGCGGCGACTGTGGCCGTCGCCATCACCCCGGCTGCGGCAGCCCCTGCGCACCGCTGCCAGCAGCAAGGACTCTTAATGGCAGCCAGCCGCGGCCCTGCCCTGCGGCACGCAAGGCCACTGGCCATTGGCAGCCGTCCTGCACGCGCACGAGCCAGCCGCCCCAGTCATCAGCAGGCGGCTAAATGCTGTCAGGGCACACATGCCTGCGGCAGCCTGGGCTAGCCCTGCGCCCGGCTGCAGGTGGACGGCCGTGCAGCGCGGGGACGACACAGACACGCGGGCGTGCGTACTGGGACTCGCGCGCCGCCCAAGCTACGGGCGCCGCTTGGTCCCTGCCGGCGCGCTGTGCTGGATATCCGGAGCCTGCGCCGCTGGTCCCGAGGCATGCCCCCTGAGGATGGGTCGGTGCTGTATCGCAACAAGACATTTACTACGGCTGTTGAGATGAGCAAGGAGAGGACTGCAGCGGCAAAAGCGCATCTGGGCTGGCCGCGCTTCCAAGAAACTCAAAAAAGCGTGCAACGCCGCAGAGCCGCGGCTTGTCAACCACGGCTGCCGTGAGGTGACTGGTGGGGCAGCCTGTCGTCGTTCACGCCTGCGCGCAAGCCTAGCCGCGAATGGGAAGACGACCAAAACGCAGCATGCTAGCTAGCCTAGGGCACCACGGGCGTGCGGACGCGCCGCGCTGCCCCCCGCGCAGCAAGACCGGCTGCCGGTGAGATCCCACAGCGCGCGCGAAAAGCACTGGGCGGACGCGTGCGGCGGAGGCCGGCCCCAGAAGCACAACCTTCGCAATGCGCGCCCGCGGAAAGCAGCACAACCACCGCCGCGGCAGCCGTGCGCGGCGGCTGCAGCATGCAAGGCCCACAGCCGCAGTCGTCTGCTTGCGCGGTCCGCCACTACGAGCCAGAGCGTGCATCGACGGACGGCGCTCAAAGCCCGAAAGCCCCGGCCCCGGCGCCGTCCCCGGCTTGCGCGCCGACCGGCACTCCGGCCGGCAGCTGCCGTGCAGCTTCAACAGCAGGGACCCACGACTGGACACGCAGAGGCGGCCCCAGGGCGTGCCTGACGCCAGCACGCCAGCCCGCCCCCCCTCCCCGCAGGGCCAGCCGGCAGCCGCGGCCATGAGGGCCGCCAGCTCAGACAGTGGCCAGCTCCGAGGGGCCGTACCGCGCCTCATAGTCGCGGCGCGGCCCCGCGCCGCGGCGGTACGCTGCGATGGCGGCCCCCAGCGTGAAGAAGCTGCCCACGCCCGCCAGGCCCCTGGTCACATGGGGCGGCGGGTGTCGCACACGTAATGGGTTTCGGGGTCAGGCGGGTGGAGACCCTTGACAGTGGGGCTCCCACCCGGCCGACTGCAGCGCTCGCGGCCGAGGCCGAGGATTGAGTCTGCAGCGGGCTCCTTGGCGCCCCTGCACAAGGCTATGAAAAGGCCAAAGGACGCTGTGCCGGCCACGCCCCCTGACGAGGATCACGCGCACCGGCAGGAACCCAGCAGTGCTGCCGACCAGCAGGCAGCCTGCCGCTGCCTCTCAGATACAAACCCAGTCGGCCCCCGATTCCACAAAACCACTCCTCCCTCACAGCACCCGTCATCCACATCCGGCACCCCCTGGAATTGCAGGCGGACCAAAACTGAACGATTCGTGGGTCTCACCAGATCACGACGTTGACGATGTACAGGATGGCAAAGGTGGTGTTCTGGGCGCCACCCGCCTGGAAGAGCTTCAGCATTGGGAAGATGCCTTGAGGGGGTAGGAGGAGGGTGGGGGCAGGAAGGATGGGCGGCGGGAG